GAGAAGAACCACCATTACAAGAAGAAAACACCAATGAGATCGAGGAATCTGAAGCAGAAATTGAAGACATCCTACTCATTGATCCGCATAATCGTCAATACGAAGATGTTCCTGATCACTCAACGGACGAAGGTGTAGACGACGAGTTTTTAGAAAATGATGATGTTTCAACAGATTACGACAATGTATCCGAATGAATATGTATGTGTTATAAGTTTGTTTAATCACAAAATCAATTTGGATTATATATGTTTTAATTTTGTTTAATCACAAAATCAATTTGCATTTGTGGTTTGGGGTTTATGTGTAGAAGAGGTTAGGAGTTTGGTTGTAGAAGAGGTTATAAGTTAAGGAAATTGTGGTTTGGGGTTTGGGGTTTCGAGTTTAGGGATTTATAAAACCTTTCCTCGTAAAGCCCTAGTAATAGAAAACACGGGCATAGCTATTTCCTCGTAATGTTCTAGTAAGGCGTTACTAGGGCTTTACGAGGAAAAAAACGCGGGCATAGCTATTTCCTCGTAAAGGGTTTTCCTCGTAAAGCCCTAGTAAAGTCATTACGAGGACCTTACGAGGAAATAAAAACACGGGCATAGCTATTTCCTCGTAAGGTCCTAGTAACGTTACTAGGGCTTTACGAGGAAACAAAATTTCTTATATATACTCGAGCAATCCGGTTTCTCATTTGCTAGTAACCTTCTCTCTAAATCCTCTAAAGGTTCTCTCTAATCCGTAGTTAGGTGATTAGATTAAAGAATTTAGATTAGGTGGTTAGTTTAGGGAATTTAGATTAGGTGGTTAGTTTAGGTAATTTAGATTAGGTGGTTAGTTTAGGTAATTTAGATTAGGTTGGTTTACTTTTAGTTACTGTTTTTTTAAATTATACGGGAATTAATGTTTTGATTTTTTTTTTTTTAAATATAGATGCCTAGACAGAGCAAGCTAGCTAAGGCTGCTGCTAAGAGGGCGTCGACGTCGTCTCTCGAGGGGATAAGCTACGGAGATATGTTTGGGCGTCAGGATGCTCCAGGTTCATCCTCGTCAGCTCCCGATTCATCTTCGATTCCCGAGACTCAGAGAGCTTCTACGGCGTCTCGGCAACCACCACCTCCTCCTCCTCCTCCTCCTCCACCGGTCGGGGTTCATCCCGATTTGCAGGTGCCGACGAACGCACCCTTTGCGGTGTACACGGTGGAGGATATTTTGGCCCTTCCAGGCAGAGAAGGGCTGGCAGAGTTAGATCCTTATCGACGGGATGGCCAAAACATTTTATGGTATGTTTTAACTTTAAAAAAAAAAATGATTTATTTCTTAATTAACAAAATATTTAGAAATTAATCTAATTAATGATTTATTTTGTGTCTTTCCAGGTTTGGTTGTGACAATAGTGTCGGACCTAGCGTCACAGACTGTATCAAGGGATACTTTCCCGATCCAGCTCCAAACTGGAAGATGACGGCGAGCCACACAAAAAAGACGTGGTTCAAATCGTTCGCTGTAAGTTTAGTTCGTTAATTTATTTTTAATTATTTAAAATTATTAATATAATTGAACTAATCCGTCTTTTTTTTTCTGGTTACAGCAAAAGTATCGTTGGTCTATTGGGATTCACCAGCGAGTGAAGAAGGAGTTTGAGGCCAAGGCAAAAGCACGATTGCTCGACATGGTCTACAACTGGAAGGGCGACTATGAGGTATAGATTTATAAATTATAATATATATATAGTTTTAAAAATATTATATATTGACTTTAATTCTAATTTCTTTTTTAAATCAGGTGGATGGTTACGAGGCCGGGAAACCTGATTGCCTCACAACCACGGTGTGGGATGGCCTCATCAGCTATTGGGGGTTTCCGGACTCGGTCAGAACCTCCAACACAAACTCCGGGAACCGCATGACCAAGGACGAGCATGGCAACACGAAGGTGCTTCACACCACGGGTCGAAAACCTCACGGGGGAGTTCGTCTAAACATGGTAAGATGCTTTTTAATATCAATTTAATTTTTATTTTATTTGAATATATTCCAAATTAATATTTAATTTTATAAATTAATTTTAGGCTAAGGAGACAGGAGTTCTTCCATCTCTGAAAGACCTTTACGAGAGGACCCACCGGAACAAGGCTGGGCAGTTTGTAGATCCTGCTTCCGAGCGGATCTACAACGAGCTTGTTGCCCGAGTTNGCTAAGGAGACAGGAGTTCTTCCATCTCTGAAAGACCTTTACGAGAGGACCCACCGGAACAAGGCTGGGCAGTTTGTAGATCCTGCTTCCGAGCGGATCTACAACGAGCTTGTTGCCCGAGTTGACGAACGCCAGACCCAGCTGACTCAGCAGACTGGGTCTCCAGTCATATTATCCACTGTTGACGTGGATAAGATTTTTGAGGAGGTAAATAATTTGTTTTACTATTAATTTTTAATATTTTTAAAATTTTTCTTAATGTTATTAATATTTTTATTTTCAGGTCGCCCCTAAGAAAAAGGGTTGTATCATCGGGATTGGCTCGGTTAACGATGTCTCTGCAGCGGCATCTCTTATCATCAGGAGCAGCACGATGTCAATGTTCAGCTGCGCTCGGAGTTGCAGGCGACGCAGTCTCATGTGACTTCACTCACCGAGCATGTCACTTCTCTCACTGATATCCTCGACATTATGGCGGTTGGAAACCCGCAAGTGCAGGAGATGTTGCGTCAGAGACGGGAACGTGCAGGGATTCCAAGTACCCAACATCCTCCGCCATCACAGTCACAGCCGGCAACCAACTATGGAAAGGATTTTTGCCGAGCCAGGACGACGACCAGTTCGTTCAGCAATTTCACGACCAGCATCCGTAGTTTCTTTTATTTTTATTTTTATATTATGAATTAAAAACTTTTGTATATTATTTACTTATTTATGAAATATTTTGTTTTTTATTTTTTTATTTATAATTTGATTTTTTTTTTCTTTTTAAAAAATAAATTAATTATTTTTAATTATTTTTTTAATAGGAAAAAAAAACATTTCCAAGCAAAATCCTCGTAAAGTATTCCAAGTAATGTCCTCGTAAAGGGTTCTAGTAATTTCCTCGTAATATATTACTACGACCTTACGGGGAAATACTTACTACGAGCTTACGAGGAAAGCTTACGAGGACCTTACGCTGAAAATATTACCACGCCTTTACGAGGAAAGCTTTCCTCGTAAATTCGCTAGGACCTTACGAGGAAAATAGCTTTACGATGAACGTGTTTCGAGGAAACGCGTTTCCTCGTAATTTCCTAGTAAAAGACCATTTACTAGGAAATAACGAGGAAAACCCGTCTTAGTAATGGACGAGTTTTCTTGTAGTGTTTTAAGCGTTAGTAAGAGATTTATACGACTGGTTCAACGATTAAAAATTGTTGCGTTTGTGGAATACTTATGACTGATTTATCATCAAATACAACAGCGGTTAACTAATAAATTAAAAATATTTATATTTTATATAATTATCAAAATATTAAAATCATATTTTTATGATAAATATAAAAGTTTTATTAAAAAACTGCACTGTTAAATTTTTAGAAAATTAAAGAAAATATTTTTTTTGGAAATTTTATAATATAAATATTTCAGTATTTCAATTATTTTAATTTAAAATTTTAATTAAATATTTTATTTTTCTATTTATATAGTTTTTTGGAGAAAAAAAATATTTTTCATCCTCCCGTAATCGCCCACAACCGCAAACGCTAGCTGAAACTAGCTTTTGAGTTTTAGAGATTCAGAGCGATTTGAAGCGATTTATAGAGTTTTCTATGATTGTTGCAAAACGCCAACAACCGCTAATAACCGCAAAAAAAAATCTACCCATTTATTTTGAGAATAATGTGAGGTGACCAGAAAGAAAATATTTTAACTTTAAAATTTTCAATTAGGTCTAAGTATTTTATCTGGTTAGAAAAATCCAAGCGCAAAATAACAGGTTCAATCAGGTTGGATTATCCTTGCCAATGAATGATCCTTGCAAGGAAAGCAAAGAATAATCCTGGATTGAGTTGAAGGGAAAGTGAGTGAAAATTTACAAAAAAATTTAATAGTCAGAGATTGATCAGAGTCTTTTTGTCAGATAAGGTATGTTTTAAAAAATCTGATTCAATGGACATTAAGGAGAAGATTTTCAAAGAAAACGTTATGAAACATGAAACCGTAATGACTACCTTTGTTTTATACCTAAAATTACTGTGACTCCCAAATTTCAGTAGGATCTCTCTTTAAGCTCTCTGGTTCGGAAACTTGCAAGAAAAGAAAGAATGAGAACAGAGTTTACCTACATTTTCCGGAAACGTTAGTAATTTCTACGCGGATGCATGATTCATTTTAATTCTGTTTACATATAGGAAGAGGCTAATAGCCGGATCGTACCAGTAAAAGACATATTCAATAGGCGGGCGAGCTCGATTCATGAAAGAAAAAAGAGAACAGTTAATAATCAGATTCCATCATTTTACCAATAGGGCCACAGTCATTCTGCTCTTCATGCGAGTTGTTTCAAAAGACAACATTAAGAATTGAGTTCCACAACTCTTTTGTCCTATACAGATGTTCCATAAACACATGCTTTTACTTTTGTGGTAAATCTTGAGATTATAACTGATCTAGGAGGGAGGAAAAAAGAAGAAGATAATTAATGAGGTGATTGGTCTTTACTTAAATTCTTATGTTTAGCATTAATGCAGGATTAGTTTGAAATTCGACATTCAAAGTCTTAGTCTTTTCAGTTCCTATAGGTAACTTGTGAGAAAAGAAGAGCGCAATAAACACTTCTTATTAAAATAACGTGTTTAACACGGTTGACCACTGCATCAAGTAGTTACTTTTATATTGTTTCTATAAATCTATCAACATGGAGGGACCCAAAAAAAACTTACAAAGGCTTCCTACTTGTGTCTGCTACTGAATTTTCTAACTGTTTTTGATCAGCAATTTGTGTTCTTTATTTGGGCTGTCAGATTTTTAAATTAGTTCAAAGAAGACGTTGCAAGAAAATTTATGATCCCCAAGGTCAAACTTAGATCAATCTTTGATTAGATTACAGAACAAGAGAAAAAAGTTTCAATCTTCAATGGAACATGTCAGAGCTATCTTCTCCTTCTTCTTTTTTGCTTGTGTCCTAACGTATCTTCCACGTCAGACCTTATCCCAGGTAGATGTTTATGAGTTTGATCCAGAGAGCTACTGTCTAGATAGAGGCAACTTCACTGCCAAAAGCACTTTTGCCAGAAACCTCAACGGGCTTGTCTCCTCTCTCTCCTCACTAACAACATCGAAACCTTATGGCTTCTACAACTTCTCCTCTGGAGACTCACCTGGAGAAAGAGCTTATGCCATTGGTCTTTGTAGAAGAGAAGTCAAAAGAGATGCTTGTCTCAGATGTATTCAGACAGCTGCAAGAAACCTCACCGAGCAGTGTCCTCGGACAAAACAAGCTGTTATGTGGTACACGCACTGTATGTTTCGTTACTCGAACATGACAATCTATGGAAGAAAAGAGACGGACCCAACTGGGGCTTTCATTGAGGATGAAACCATATCAGAAAACAGAGGTGAGTTTGAGCGTCTTCAGAGAGGGCTGCTGGATGGGCTCAAAGCGATTGCTGCGGCTGGTGGGCCGAATAGGAAATACGCTCAAGGGAACGGTTCTGCTTCGGCAGGGTACAGGAGATTCTACGGAAGTGCGCAGTGTTCGCCGGATTTGTCTCAACAAGATTGTGATGACTGTCTAGCTTTTGGCTTTGAGGGTGTCAAAAGTTGTTGTGATGGTCAGATTGGGTTTAGGTGGTATTGTCCTAGTTGTAACGTCCGGTTTGAGACCTGGAGATTCTATGAGCTTGACGCCGACCTAGAGCCTGATCCACCTGGTGCTGTTGGTTCACCAACACCAGCTGCAAAAACTGTAAAAACTGGTACATAGAAATGTTTGAATGTGCCCAGGGCCGGCCTTGGGCTAAAGCCTGTAAAGCAAGGGCCAGCCCTGTGCGTCTCTTGTGTGTTTGCTGCAAATGTTTTTTTTAAGATCTTTTTGTCTGAGTAAGAAAGTGATTGTTCTTACTAGGGCTGGGCAAAAAAAACCGAACCCGAAAATTCAAACCGAATCCGACCCGATAAAAAGGAACCCGAACCGATCCGTACCCGACATAAGTACCGAATGGATCTTGTTTTACGGTATTTCGGGTTATGGGTATTACCCGAACCGAACCCGAACTTAAATGGATATCCGAAAGAACCCGAAACTTTAAAATTCCAAAAAAACTTGTATCATATCCAATCTAAATTTCTAATATGTTTCCAAAACAGATTAATATATTATTGAGTACCCACAATAATTAGTTATGATATAAATAATTAACTCAAATATTTAGTCTAATATATAGTGTTATTTGGTTAATATTAATGTTTATGATTGACATTACATTTGAAGTTAAGTTACGAATAAATTTGTTTTGAAGTTTATATAATGTTGTTTTTAAAAGTTTAAATAGCACTTCTTATGTTTATAGAATTGTTAGTTGTTAACTNAGTTATGATATAAATAATTAACTCAAATATTTAGTCTAATATATAGTGTTATTTGGTTAATATTAATGTTTATGATTGACATTACATTTGAAGTTAAGTTACGAATAAATTTGTTTTGAAGTTTATATAATGTTGTTTTTAAAAGTTTAAATAGCACTTCTTATGTTTATAGAATTGTTAGTTGTTAACTTTAATTTTTAATGTTTCATTATGTAGTATATTTCCTTCATACAAGGCTTTGGTTTGTTATTAATCATGATATGTTTAGTGTTGTCACATATAGTTCATTGACAAATCTTATATGGTTGATAGATGAGTTTCACAATATTATTTTGAAGGAGAACAATATGGTTTGTAGAAGCTAAATACACAAATTTAATAAAATGATTGAAAATATAGTGAGTTTAATTAAGTATAAATTAGTATTTTTAGAACCGATAACCCGATTAGTATCCGAAACCGAAACTATTTCGGGTTCAACTGGAACTTGGACATGTTACTAAATCCGAACCGAACCCGACTAAACCCGAACCGAATCCGATCCGAATTTTTATAATATTCGAATGGGGCTGAAATTCATGAACACGAAACCCGAATGAACCCGAACCAAAACCCGATTGGGACCCCGATTGCCCAGCCCTAGTTCTTACTGTAGGTAAGGGCAAAGGTGGTTCTAAAGTCGTAATCGCGATAGTCATTCCAATAGTTCTTGTTGCTTTATTTGCGGTTTGCCTATGCTTGGTCCTAAAGTGGAAGAAGAACAAGTCTGTAGAAGGTAATTCAATGTCAATGTCTTTTAACTTTTGTTATGGTTATGCTGTTAAACAGGTAAAAATCTAGTTCCTAAGAACTTCTGTATGCATATTCAGTTCTTGGGGTTTCGCCTTTGTCGGGATCAGTTGCCGAGGATGAGTTCTCGAATACAGATTCTCTGGTAGTTGACTTTGAAGACGTAAAGGCCGCAACAAATAACTTTTCTTCTGAAAACGAACTTGGACGTGGTGGGTTTGGCTCAGTTTATAAGGTAAGTATTTAGGTTAACTATCTATTTGTCCTTGAGAACTATCATATACGTTAACTATCATAAAGTTTATAAGTTAAATTCTCACTCTTTATATCCACAAAATGAAAGTTAAATACAAGTTCCCCATAAATTCAAAGTTTAAATCATATTTAAGTTCGGGATAAATACAATTCAAACTTTGAATTCAAATGGAACGTTGTATTTAACTTTCATTTAATCTATACTATTATTTGTTAAGTGAGTTTTTGCATTCGATCTCTCACGTTAAAAGTTAAAGTTGTTAATATTGTTTATACCTTTAATAAATAAATCCAAAAAATAAAAATGAATTTAAATTTATTTTATTATATCAATGATTAAAATTCATAATAATAAGAATTATCCAAAATCTAAAAATATTATTTAAACAAAAAGATAATTCACATATATATATATAAATATATATATATATATATATATTTATTGTGTTGTTATCCTAAAATATCTTTTAATAAAAATTTATAATTCAAAAACAGAACTTATAACTAAATATTAATCATGTAAAACTCTTATTTTTATATAACTGAAAATAGAATATTGAATGTTTTTAGTGTACAAGAAAAAAATTATAATGCATAAGAATTTTTAAATGAAACATAAATTATCAGAATGCATCCTATTAAGTAACTATAAATTACTTATGCCATGTGCGAGCATAACACCTACCTACTGATTATAAAATAATAGGAGTTATTAAATTTTATTATTTTGTATTTTAGTCTAGTAATTATAAAATTATATGAGTTATTCTAGTAATTAGTAGAATGATTAGAGTCATTTTAAGTAATTTCTCTATATATATTGGAGGTTTAATTTCGTGTAAGCATGATGTTATAAATCGTTTTTAGAAGGAAATAGATCGTCAACCCCAAGTATCTTCGAGCAAGCTTTTTAATTACCGGTAATGGTTTGGTTATTTGAGAGATTTGTGAACTTTGGGAATATCTATGCCTCAGGGTATGTTCTCTCATGGACAAGAAATCGCGGTGAAAAGATTGTCAGGTACTTCTGGACAAGGAGACATCGAATTCAAGAACGAAATCTTAGTACTTGCAAAGGTTCAACATAGGAATTTGGTTAGGCTTTTGGGTTTCTGCATACATGGACAAGAAAGACTCCTTGTTTATGAGTTCATCAAGAACGCAAGTCTTGACCATTTCATTTTTGGTAATTATTCTCCATTTTTTGCTCCATATGATCCTGCGATTATTTTTTTCTGCTATGTGTTGATCCCTGTGCCGTTTCAGATCTTGAGAAGCGTCAACTTTTGGATTGGGGAGTGCGATACAAAATGATCAGAGGAGTTGCTAGAGGACTTCTTTATCTTCATGAAGACTCTCGTTTCCGGATCATACATCGTGATCTTAAAGCTAGCAACATTCTTTTGGACCAAGAATTCAATCCAAAAATCGCGGATTTTGGCTTAGCTAAACTCTTTGACACTGGCCAAACCGTTACACATCGGTTTACAAAAAGAATTGCAGGAACTTAGTAAGTAAAATCTTATGTGTTACTAATATTACATGGAATTAGTCTATGGAGAAACTCTTAGACTATCTAGTAAGTGTCTAAAGGGCTATAGATTTGAGTCCCATTGGGAGAGATTGTTCTCTAATAAAAAAGAGTTAGTTGAACCAAGATCCTCCTAGTTATTAAAAAAATACTTAGTCTTACTATTAAATCCAAGAACATACCGGTATAAATAATTTGTTTCATTTCATCTTGTAGCGGGTATATGCCTCCCGAATACGCCATGGACGGACAATTCTCAGTCAAAACAGACGTTTTCAGCTTCGGTGTATTAGTCATTGAGATCATTACAGGTAAGAGAAACAACAATGGTGGATCTAATGATGAAGAAGATGCAGAAGATCTTCTTCCTTGGGTAAGTATACAAAACCAAACCGGTAACACCTAGTTTTTACTATTTTGTTCATCTTGTCAATGTTCAAGAAACCATTAGGTGCTAAGTGGACGGTGATTCAACGCCTTGCGCCAGAACGGCTAAGCAGGAGTCTTGATTATTAATTAGGCGGCTTAGGTGTTTATTAATTATAACACTATACAAAAAATATATATATATATATAATAACACTATACTAAAAATATATAGTTATTTATATTATATATCACTATTTACAAATGATAAATTTATATTATTAATTTTTTATAAGATGAATAATATATATAAATTATAACATATAATCTTATGAAAATATAATAATATATATTATTTTATCAAAAATATAATAATATATATTATACATCACTATTTAAAAATGATAATTTATATTATTTTATTTTCATTAGACTATATATTATAATTTCTATTATTTATTTTCATAAGATTAATAATATATATTATATATCACTATGTACAAATGATAATTTATATTATTTAATTTTCATAAGATTAAATGTTATAATTTATAAATAATAATAATAAATAATATATTTATTATTATAATATTATTTATTATTATAATACTGTAACTGTCAAGACAACATAGAAAGTAACCACCACGGTCTCTTTTTTTGGTTTTATTATAAGATCTAGCATCTAATAAGCGCCGTCTAGGTGACTGCCTAATTTTTTTTTTTTTTTTAACTCTTTATTGAACTCTGCTCCTTGTTAAATGAATCTTTTTTTATTCTACTTTCTATTTCTCAGGTATGGAGAAGTTGGAGAGAAGACACTATACAAAGCGTGGTCGATCCGAGTTTAACCACGGGATCAAGAAACGAAATCTTGAGAGGTGCATACACATTGGTCTGTTATGTGTTCAGTTCAGGAGAGTGCATCGACTAGACCAACAATGGCTTCCGTTGCTTTAATGCTCAACAGCGATTCGGTTACTCTCCCGATACCTACATGGCCTGCGTTTGTGTTAGAGAGTGTGATGCCTCGGAATGTTTCTTCTTCAACTGAAGAGTTACAAATGTCGTTGAATGATGTCACTGTTTCTGAGTTATTTCCTCGTTAGAGAGATGATGCAATCAATAATTTTTTTTTTATTCTCTTTAACCCCTTTTAATGGGGGGGGGGGGGAGAAATTAGCTTATTTACAGGTTTTCATTCAGGTTTGATAAATAAATTAAGAAAACCACGAGTTATTGATGGGTTATAGGTTTCTAGTTTTTTAATTGATAAACTTGAGGGTAAAAGCCTAATGCAGTGAAGCCACTAGATTCGAGTTCCGACCACTGGGGAATTAACATTTCGACATCACCAAGGACATGGAACTAACATGCGGCAACACGTGACTAGTCTGGACCATTTCTGTGGGGACATGATACGCCCGTATAAATAAAAAATTTGATAAAATACTTGAATAATCAGGTTTAAGTAAGGGGAGTTTAGCTCTATAATATAAATATTATAATTCAAAATTTAACAGTTTTACCTAATATGCTAGAGTACACACTATATCTTATATAATAAAATTGACTTTTCTCAATTTTGCTTATGTCACATCAGCAAGAACATATGGGCAATTTGTGATAGATGACAGTTCCTAGTTCTTTTTAGAGGTAATTGGGTCAAAAACAATGAAGTGAACCCAAATTAAGAATATACCAATAACAGTACAAAATTTCGAAAGTTATGGTAATGGGTATATGGTTTATGACGAAAATAGCCTTCCCGGTTAGACCCATCGACTTCCGCTTGTTTAGGCTTCCTAGGGTTTGTAGGTTCTCTGATTTCCTTTGATTTTGTTATATTTTGTTAGATATTAGAGGATATTCTAAGATTTCATCGGTAAACGAAAGGCGAACAGTGATGAGTGCAGAAAACTTCCCATTCACACATTCTCTGACGCAAGTAGTGCATGCCACAAACATATCAACCGTAAAGATTTGTCTCCTCTATTTACAGAAAATGTGTACATATAGATTTGTATTGTTATCTCCCTGTTGTTCTCTTTATAAAATTCAGAAAACGGATTCAGAGTTTACAAGTAAAACTCTAAAAGATAGTGGATGCTCATCTGAAATTTGTGAATGATATTCGACTAATCTTGTAGAGGACAGAGAGTTTCTCAACTGTAAGTGTTTCTGAAACCTTAAATCCCTCATCATTAATTCGATTTTGGTTGCCCCTTTGCATTTAATTTGTCGAACCACTTTATGCGTTAACATAAATACATTTTTTAGAGCTTTAAAAATCATATGTTTCCCTCGTTGCCAAGTCTGATTTTCCCCATCTGAATCTATATTGTCTATCTTCTGTAGATTTTTGCTCTGATGTGATGACTTTACCATGAAACCACTATTCTAACTGTACGATTTTGTGCAGGAGATGGGGAGACTGTTTAGAGTTTTAAGTGGTAATTGGAAGAGAAACCGTCGAGAGCACTGGCATTTCCTCCCCGCGCCTGGTGATAACCCCTGGACCATGTATGTCGAGGAAGCTGATTATTATCAAATGGTGGAAGGGGCAATAAGAGAGGTTTATGGTCTAGGTGAGGCTACGCCGGTGATTATCACCTATGGGAGGCCTGACTGGATGCTTTTCTCTAGTGGGAACATACCCCCACTGACGCTATCAACTTCTCATGATCTTCATGATTTGTTAACAGGGAGGCCATGGGTGACAGAGGTTACTTTACTGGTTACTATTGGGGCAAGGAGCGTGGCAGAGTACAACTTTCTCCGACGTTCTAACTTCAGTATTGGGACAACCACTTATGTGGTTGATGGTGCGCAGGATGACAGAGCCAGAGCTATATTCGAAGGTTCGTAATATAAAACTTTTCAAGTATATTCTTTACTTATCAGAACCGAGTTCCTCCTCATCTTACTAATATATGCTGAATTTATTTTTATTAGGTTTGGTTTTCAGTGAACGTCTTCTAACTAGTGAGAGGGTGATGTTGGAGATATTTGGAGAACAAGAGATGCAACTCCTCTACCGAGTTGCACAAGAGTTGCAACATGTTGACAGGGGTGTGGGTTTTCAGTCAGTAACTTCGGTTTAACATGGTTTGGACATTATAACCGTCGAGGATGACGAGGAGATGGTTGATGTCGGTAACATGGGAGTACAGCAACTGAACACAGTCGGTAAGAATTTTTTGTACACCATCCTCAACTTTTCTTCCATACAATCATAAATTTAAGATTGTAATGAATAATAACAGGACCGTAGTTATTTTGGTGTGACCGGATCTAACTTATGTTAACCGTTTTATTCATGTTCTGAATAGGGGCGCAAGTACAAGCACTGCAGCTCAAGAGCAAGAGGTTCCAAACAATGTCTCCCAAGCTCCATCTGTTCTCTGGGATGTCGAGATAAACTTAGTCAACTATTCGGCTTTCATAGACACAGATAGGGAGCTTGGTACAGATCCAATTGGTACGGATTTCTGGAGAGATTTAATGGAAGAGGAGGCTAAAGCAACTGAGATATTGGACTAGAATGTTGAGTGTGTTGAAAAAGGGAGTAAAATGCCAACTGCACAGGGTGTGGCTGTTGAAAAAGGAGCCGAATCTTCTACAGGCTCCATTGCTATTGTTTGCTCTCAATATCTTGGAACAACTTCCGGACAAGCAAGCGACGTCGGGGAAGTTAGCTCGAAGCTTAGTGGTGGAGAACCAATCCTTGGTGGTTCTGCAAGCAAATGAGGTTAGAAATGGTGTCATGGATGACCAAAAAATGTTTTTTTTTTATCGTAGATGATAGTTGATTATTTGTTATTTAACGATAGTAAGTTTTATTGGCTTGATTGTGTGCAGTTTCTGTTGAACACCTTCCCGTAGGCTCCGTTGAAGTTACTGAGACTCTGCACAGTTTGACCTCACAAACTGTTCCTTCCCCACAGAGCATACCATTCACGCCTGATCCAGTTCCCAGAACGAAGGAGGCGGCACCAACAAAGATGACGAGTGAGAAGGCTGTGGAGACTTCATCGGACGGCAGCCACACCGAGGGTGGGTGATGATATGAATGGGTTTGAGCGTTTTTCCAAGTTGTAATATATTAATGTTTACGTTTGTGTTGTTGCGGTGATGGGTTATTTTTGTTAGGGGATGGTTTGTTTTTGGTTAACCGGTTAACATAAAGTTTAACCAATGTTGGTTTCATGGTGGTTAAACTTTTGTGTAACCGGTTATGTTTGCAAGATAATCGGCTAGGTATGACTTATATATGGTTATGGATGGAAGAAGTATGTAATAGACGGTTAGGTTTGACATTGGGTTGGGTTGCACGTTTCTATTAGTCAAACTTTTATGTAACCGGTCATGTATTAATGAAAAAATGTGATTCTGTTTATCTGCTTTCAATATTATTATTTTTTTGTGTACATTTATAATCTATGTGAAGAAAACGGTTTATTAGAAACAGTATTGATATAGATTTTGTCTGATACAGATTTTAAAACTGGTTAACATAATATTTAACAATATTTGGTTTATGGTGGTTAAAATTTTGTGTAACCGGTCTGGTTTCAAATTAATCGGCTAAGTGTAACTTATATATGACAGAGGATATAAGATGTATCAATTAGACGATTAGGTTTAATCTTATAATTTTTAAAGTTTACTGCCTCACACATTCGCATAATAGTTGTGAGAAATCAGATCATCGGAGCACCCCCTCAACTGATAAATTTTTACTGTTTAGCAGGTGAGATAGGTGATAATGGGGTTTAACTGTCTGTGGGAATGATGTTCCTAGACAAAGAAGCTTTCAAACATCACATGGCTTTATATGTAATTGAGCATAAGTTTTGCTTCAGAAGTCCAAAATCTGACCCAAAATCGGTGATCCTTGTCTGTCAAGGGCCGGGTTGTCCGTGGCGTGTTTATGCTGCCCAGCTCAAAGATTGTGACATATTTGAAGTGAGGACGTTTGTGTCTCAGCATTCTTGTTCAATTAACGTATGTTCAGGTTACAAAAATCAGGCCACAGCCGCTGTCGTTGGAGAGATAATGAAGACCAAATTTACGGGTTCTGGGGCTGGACCAAAACCTAGGGAAATCAGAAGTATGATGCGTGTGATGGGTGAAACTCACTCTCTAATTTAGGTTAGCTTTAGATTGGGGAAAAGACAATCGTGGGCTGAATCCTGTTAGAACTTAAAGAATGAATATGATTGTATTGATGAATAAGGATTACAAAGATGATTCCGATGATTACTGTGGGAGTCGATTTCACCCTACTGTCAAATAAATCGTAAATAAGGAAACTTCGGGAAAACCCTAAGTTTCCAGAGGAACCGGCTATCTGCGAGAACCGCACAACGAAAATAAGAAAACGATAACTTTGAATTAAAACGAGAATAAACGAAAAACAAAGAGAGCAAAGAGTTTCTTATTCCGAATCTGCGTAGAACTGGTACAAAAGAGTAGCCGAAAAAAGCTTAAGAACGAAAACCCTAATTGAGACGCAGCTCGCTAACAGAAAAACGGAAAAGTTCCTAAATGCTAGTTTTTGGTGGTGAGAGCTCTGAATTTCGTGTGTATGCTTCTGCCCTGGACCTCCTCTTTATATACTCCTCATCTTGGCTATCCGATCTTTCCATTTCGCCCAGATTTGACCTAAATCGGGAACTTTCCATTCTTCTCGATCCTTCCTCTTCTTCTGCGGAAATCTTCTATTTCTCTTCAAATCTTCCTTTTATGTTTAAACTTGACTTTTATTTTCTTTCCGCGAGTAAACCGTTAGAACGTTATCAAATCCGCGGGTTTGATTCCGTTGAAATCGCGAGATGGGTTTTATCGCGTTTTAGGTCCTTCCGGACCGTTTTGCGATAAAACCGTTTTCCGACTTTTACG